ATTTCAAAGATAGAAACATGCAGTTCATAATATCAACATATGTCAACCCTATACGCAAGGTCTTCCTCTAAGACTAAACACGTGTTCAAATTCTGAAGAGACTGAAACATTGAGTTGATGCATTGAGGCTCGAGTCAAATCGGTAATTGTTCCATATCTTCACGCTATCCCTCTTTTCAGAAATCATTAAATGCACGTAATCATTTTCTTTAAATCTTTTTCTTTTTTAATTAAGACTACTATTTTCTTTCCATTAGCTATATATATACTTCATTCACCATCACTATTACACTTCCACTCTCAATTTTCCTCTCTTAAATTTGTTCAATCTTTCAAAAACCCTAAAAGAGTATGTGTGAACAAATGGCTTCCTCTCAACAACTTCTTCAAGATTCTCAAAGTATTCGTGATTCTTCTTCCTCAACAGCAAAAAGGTGCATAGAACCCTCAAGAACTCTCCTCACACCCATTGATTCGCTGGAAGTTCTGTGTGAGCTCATTATAGATTGCATAAGCATGAAGAAAATGGGTATGATTTAATCCCTGATGTTGAGTTCCAAGGATGGACTAAGTACTTTGATCGCCTCCTAGGTCCAGTTTTTCCAAAACTTGTTAAAGAATTCTAGATCCATGCCACAACTTCAAATCATCAGGTTACATCTTTCGTTATAGGAAAGAAAATCATCATTTATGAAGCTCTCACTGGGAAACTAATAGGTCATAACAGCGGCGGTATTCGATGCAGTGATATAGCTGATAAAAGTTCTGACCTAGCCAAGATCTCAAAGGAAATCTTTACTTCTGGCCACCCGTCCAACAAAATCAAATACCTGAAGGATTACCTCAGAATTTGGTCTAAAATAATTTTGGGTTGCATCAATCACAGGAAGCCTACAAGTTCTCCAGATTACATCAATATTGATCAGCAATACCTTCTGTACTTCATCGCCACCAAAGAAAAAGTTAATCTTCCACATCTTTTGTTCAATCATCTAAAGACCAGTGTAAAAGAAACAAGAGAAGAAGAAAGAACAAAGAGAGATTGGATTCCTCTGGGAAGACTCATTTCAGATATTCTGACAGAAAACAGATTGATAGAACATCTGACTGAGGCTCAACAAGCTAGCGCTCTAGAAGCTTGTGCTGGTAAACCTCTCAATGCTAAAAATATGAAGAAGATGAAGATTATTTAAACTATTAAGAAGGATCCAACAATCACCACCAAGAAAGTCATTACCACCCGAAGAGTGCCTCTGAAGGATTTTCCTCTCTTCACTTAAGCAGATTCTTCTCCAGATATTGTTCTCATGTATCTGGAAGTATGCAAGAGGGACGATACAAATCCAGATGTGAACATTCACGATCTAAGGCAACAACCTCTGGAAGTTGCTCCTAGAAAATCAAGAAAAAGGAAAGCAGCTGCAGAAGGAACTTCTCAGAAGACTCTCAAAGCTGCCAAAAAGAAAGGTAACCCTTCTTTTGTTTCTGTTATTGAATCGGTATTGTTATCAACATCTGAAAACCCTTCATCTCCAAAGCCCATAGAAGATCCATCTCCTCAAATCTTTGATGATTTTGACCATGACTTTGACACATCATTTCCTCTAAATAACCTTCTGAACAATCTATCTTCTACCCATCTTGACCAAACTCAACCTGAACTTGCACAAGTTCTCTCTGATATTGATCAATTTGATCTGCTATTTGAAGCTCCCCAAACCGAAAATCCAAACCTTGATTATGATACCACAACATCCATCCATGGCATCACCTTCCCTCTCATGGTCTCTCAACCACCAATAATTCCCTCAACTTCTTCACAGAACCTCTCCATTCCAGATCTTACATCCCCTTATCAGTCCACTCCATCAAACTCACCAAATTCTCCCATAATCCTTTCTGACTCTCCCTCTCCAAATAACTACCCATAAGATCCCCTTAAAACAATCATAGATTTAGAAGCTTGAGACAATCTCATCAGAAGCTCTCAGAAAATTGTCGTTCCAAAACCAAAACCAAAAATCTCCAAAGCAGATGTTGGTAAATTCTTATTGATTTTTGAAACAGAAATACAAGAATGGGTTAACTCTCTAAAGCTTGCGTAGAGAATCTCAATCCAGCTGCTTCTGATTCTCATTGGAACCAGTTCAGAAAATGGTTCAACACTGAACCTCTGAAACTAAAGGAGCTTAGTTATGAAATCGCTCAACAGAACTTCTGTGGTCGCTTAAAAATCTTCAAGGATCAAGTTCTGCGTTACTGGGAAAAGAAGCCACTCCTTCTGCTGGACAATACCCCTTGGGAAGCTCATCAGACATCAAAGTGTAATGAACCACCCTCTGATCCTCTTTCTCTGGTCATGTTTCAAGACAAAGGCAAGGAAGTCGAAGAAGCTCCTGTGTCAGAATCAGTTGCAGCCTGCTCTAAAAAAATGGTCTCTTCTGCTGAAATAACCTCTTCTTCTATTGTGCTGCAAACTCTGGAGGAGTTGAAGAAAGAAAATGTCGTGTTTAAGGAAAGGTTAAACAAGAAAGATGATACTTGCAAGGAAATTAAGGGGATGTTTGGAAAACAAGAGGAATGGAACAATTAGATTAAGAGTTTATTAGAAGTCCTGTTCACACGACTTCCACCTCCTCAAAATTAGTTTTGAATTTTTTTCTCTTTCTTCAGTTTGTTGCTTATTTCCTTGATCCTTTTTTAATACAAAACACATTTTATTGTCGAAAGTGTTTTATTGCTTTTTTATTCTTGACAAAAAAGGGGGAGAACGTAAGATATTTCGAATATAATAGTATCGAGACTCAGTCTCAAACATTTTGAATATTATAACTTCTATTTTTATCCTCTGAAAGCAAACAGGAAAAATCTATTGAAAAGAAACATCTGTTGAGAACAGTTGTGGATGCATAAAAAAATCTTCTTCTCAAAACTCTGATCAAAACAATCTTCAGGGAAGTATTTATTTCTTTATCTAAGTATCCAACTCAGGGGAGACTTTAATGCTTTTATGTTCTTTAAGTATTCTATCAAAATATACAAGTTTTGTCATCATCAAAAAGGGGGAGATTGTTAGAATATAATTTAGTTCTACATCCTTGTAAGAGTTTTGATGATAACAAACACTCAAAGAACAATTATGCTCCCTAAATAAGTATTTTATTTTGCAGGGAAGTTATGATGTAAGAAGTACAGAAGATGAGATAGATCGTTGTTAAAACTCTGATATGACACATCTTACATAGAAAACAAATATGTGTAACACGCTTAAAGAAAGAAGTTCTGAAGTTACAAGTTTTGAGTGCACTTACGCTGCGAACAAGAACTCTGATATTCTGATACGTAATATTCTAGAAAGAAGTAAAGGAGTCTCAACGGTAACATTCATCTTCTGATGTGATCTTTAATAAGCATGTTTTGAAGCGTTACATTTTATTCATGGCTAATCAATAGTAACAGCTGAAAGAACACAAGAATCTCTATGTTTGGAAAGTACACTAACTACTATTTATCAACCTTCCAAAAACACCTTCCATGCATTGCCTATATAAAGAGGACGTGAAGAAGAAATCGTTGACGATTTTGACTGGGCACTAGAAATATTACTACCTTTCAATCTATTGCTTATCAATTGTGTAATACATCACTTTTGTGATACTGTTTTTGTTAGAAAACATATTTGTACACGTTTTCAAATATATTACTGTGTAATACCATGAGAAAACTGAATTGTGATTTAAACTCAAGAAGACTTTGACAGTTGTCATTGTATTTGTGTAATCAAGTTTGATTAGTGGATTAAGACCTCATTTGAGAGAGTCGAGATGACCTTGGCGGGTGGACTGAAGTAGTTTGAGTTTAAACGAACCAGGATAATCAACATGTCTTTTATTTTAAATTTTAAAAATCCCAATTCAAATCCCCCTTCTTGAGTTTTTTCATTCTTCATTGGGGGAGGGGGTCGTATGCTTGGTACACTTGTACGCCAAGCTGAGCGAAGATTCTCTTTGGACAATAAAGTAAATGAAGGGCTCTTACACCCTGTGACGCTAATCTTCATAGCCACTATTAATTTTAAAAGCACTTTTGTTATACTTGTTACTAATGTTTTTTTCTTACTCATTTCCAGGGATGGATTCTATCCCACTTTCACTGCATACACAGGTTTGATCGTGTGCTAGGGTATACTAAGGATTACTCACATGCTTGCCTATATTTCCCGCGTGGCGGAAATGATGTTGTGTGTTCATTTCGTGTGTATATTGGCAGGACTCAACATGATGACATAGACTAAACACCATGCCCCACTCATCGAGACACTATTCCCTTCGACCTCATTTCATATTACTCTGGATAGCTGGCATGTGGAAGTAATTTTATGTATATGTATCTGCCAGAGCGATGCATGCATCAGGTTGAAAAAGAAATTGCCTACATTTAATCATATAAAAGTCCAATTAATTTGAATTTTAAATCCATGATGAAACATACCTTTTTAAACAAGTCATACAACTTTCCTTGCTAATCTTGGGCCTCCATCGATTGGTGTTCTTTAAGAGAGAGAGAGAGAGAAAACTATGAATTATTTTAATTATGAGAAGTTCCATAATCAAGAAGTTAATCCAAATTATGTGATAATGTGTTTTATCTTTGCTATTTTGTTTACAAAGAAGAGTTTTTGCAACTAACTGGATTTTTATTGTTGGAACTTAATTCTGATTGATTTGGTTTCTTTTCGGTGTTCATTCATGGTTGTTTTTTTAGCTAGTTAGTTGTCACTCATACAAATCATACAGTATAATATATGTATTGATACAAACTATGGTTCTTGCACTCAAATATTTGCTATTTGTATATATTGTATGTTGTCACTATCAACACTAAAAATTAACAAGTAAGCTAGAAGCTTGTCATTCACAAATTGGAAGCATGCTGTAGAGGGTAATTCCATATTCTGAGATATTACATAATAAATATTACAGAAACTACATACAGGTCATTCAAGCAGCAACTGGCAATGGAGTAGCAGGAGTAACCCGATTTTCAGCTGGAATTTCAACAAACTCAGACAGTAGAGCACGGAATTCATCTCCACTCAATGTCTCCTTTTCTAGAAGGACTTCAACAATCTTATCAATTGCCTCGCGGTTGCTCCTTATCTGCGACAAGGCAATTTCATATGCTTCATCGGATAATCTCTTGACAGCAGTGTCAATGTCCTCTGCAAGCTTTTCTGACATCGAGTTCCTTGCCATCATTCTCATGATAACATCGCCACTTTGCGCTGATGAGTCCATAAGAGACCAAGGACCAATATCAGACATTCCAAATGTGACTACCATCTGCAAGAGTATCATTAACATTCATCCAATTAATTATAGTTGTATCTAACAATACAACTCGGATTGTGCTGACAAAATGAAATCAGTTTGCGATGCAGAATTCTAATGAATAATTATTACCTGTCTTGCTATGCCGGTGATTTGCTGCAAATCACCACCTGCGCCAGTCGTAACCTCGGGCTCACCGAAAATAATTTCTTCTGCAGCCCTACCACCTAACCCTCCAACAATTCTTGCGAAGAGTTGCTGTTTTGAGATCAGGGTTGGGTCATCGGAAGGAATGAACCATGTAAGACCCCGAGCTTGACCACGAGGAATTAATGTTACCTTTTGTACAGCATCATGACCAGGAGTCAAAGTTCTGCAACCGAGTACAAATAAATTTTTCAAAACAACTTTATGGGGATATTTTTACTGAAATAGCTTATTAATGTGAAGTAACATAAAATTGTTACCCGCAAATGGCATGCCCGACTTCATGATATGCCACTAAACTTTTGCTCTTTCCATCAGTCATTAATGTTCCTTCCATTCCAGCCACAATCCTATCGATAGAATCATCAATCTCCTTAGATGAAATCCCTGACCTTCCTCGCCGACCAGCTAATATAGCAGCTTCATTCAAGAGATTTGCAAGATCAGCTCCACTGAAACCAGGAGTTCTCATTGCAATCACTTCAAGAGAAACATCATTTTCAAACTTTTTATTGTTAGCATGAACCTTTAGGATATCAGTCCTTCCCTTTATATCTGGAACATCTACAGATACCTGTAAAAACATTACTTTCAGTAATTTATAATCATTTCTAAACGGATAAGGTGCTCCGTAATATAGTTATACCTGTCTATCGAACCGTCCAGGTCTCAATAATGCAGAGTCAAGAATGTCGGCCCTATTAGTTGCTGCAATAACAATGACACCGGTGTTACCCTCAAATCCATCCATTTCTGTCAAAAGCTGGTTGAGAGTCTGTTCTCTTTCATCATTCCCTCCACCAATTCCCGTCCCTCTTTGTCTTCCAACAGCATCAATTTCATCAACAAAGACAATGCAAGGAGCATTCTCTTTAGCCTTCTTGAACAAATCACGGACACGAGAAGCACCGATACCAACAAACATCTCAACAAACTCAGAACCCGATATAGAAAAAAATGGAACGCCGGCTTCACCAGCAATAGCCTTGGCTAACAATGTCTTTCCAGTTCCTGGAGGACCGACAAGAAGAACTCCTTTTGGTATACGAGCACCAACAGAAGTGAACCTCTCAGGCTTCTTGAGAAACTCCACCACTTCCATAAAATCCTGCTTGGCTTCATCCACCCCAGCAACATCATCAAACGTCACTCCAGTGTTCGGCTCCATTTGAAACTTGGCTTTAGACTGACCAAACTGAAGAGGAAATCCAGGCCCGCCGGGACCTCCCATTCCACCAGATCGCCTCGAGAGAAAGAACAATACACTAATGACAGCAAGAGGGAAAGCCAAATTCCCAATCAAGTTAAACAAAACAGAACCCGATTCCTCTTGGTTATTATGAGCTGCAAAATCAATGTTCTTTTCCCTCAATTTCTGAAGAAGCTCTTGACTAAGTCCAGGAAGTTGAACCCTAACACGCTGCAGCCTGTTTCCTAACTCAGGAGAAACAGCCTCAACAATAGCTATAGTTCCATTCTCATACAAATCCACTTTGGTAACTCTATCCTTGTCCAAATACTCAAGAAACCTTGAATAAGACATCCTCGACGACGAAACACCTTGTTCATCAGCAGCATAAGCTTTTCCATTTCCCAATAATGCAGGCAAACCAACACCAACATTTCCAAGCAACAATTTCAGCATCCCCCTTCTACCCTCCTGCTGACCTTGATCTAAAGTAGCCTTTACAGAGAATGATTTTGATGCCCTATTACTCATCCAAGATGAGAATAGGTATCTTCCACTCAAGTCCTTACCAAGAGTAATTCTATTACTATGAGTAGATAAAGCATTTCCAACAAGACATGCTGACGATGCTGCCATCTAAAACCAAAATATAAGGTCTTAGTCTTAATTAACTACAACTAGTTCATTATTTAACAGGAAAATAAATATTGAATAAACAATCAATCATACAAATCTACACAGAAGATTCACTCTTATGGTAAGAAGCAAGCAATTATTGTAATTTGGGAACAAAGTCAGAATTCAATTAAAATTAGGGAATGATGTAACATAATCTATAAAGAAAAGATTTTTAGATTAAAGGGTCCATGATTAACAGCTCAAACAATGAATAGTGAAGAATTGATAAAATAAAAGTAAGGGAGAGTAACATAAGAGAAAAGAGATGAAGAAGCACAAACCTTGAATGTGAAAGAGAAACGAGAGAGTGTGAGTGGAAGTTCAGAGCCTCTTGGAGAAGAGGAAGGTGATGAATGAAGAATAGTAGTGAGAATGTGGATTTATGAAGGATTGGGTGTGGCTAGGGGAAGACCTACGTGGCCTAGTTTTAACGTTTGATTCGTCTCACATTGGTCCTAGATTCATGTCTTTATTTATTTTTTTGGGTTTTCCCTGGTGCTATTATCTCCACATAGGTTGGTTTACTTCCGAAAATTACAAATTTAGTATCTTCTTTTTTTTCATAGGCAAATATAATATGAGTTATTTAAAAAAAGCTGTTGTAAAAATGAATTTAAAAAAAAAAATCCAAGTTTTCCATATTCATAAGACTAAATTTTTAAAAAGGCGAGTTGGACATCTACGGTTAGAATGTAGGATGATGTGTTTCATTTTTGGTTTAGTTATGAATGATTGGTGTGCGTGTGTGTTCTAGTGGCGAATATTTGGATTTTGAGAGGGTGTTTCTCTCAAGGTTTCAGGTTTGAAGTACAGATTGTTTATTAAAAAAAGTTATTGAATGGTTTGAAAATATGAATTGCTTATTCGTCTCACTTATTTAAATAGTGAGTGTCAATTTAGTATTGAGAGAGATAGAGAGAAAATAAGGATTCAAAAGAGAGAAACTCATTCTCGTTTTTTATAATCGATCTCACTAAATTGACGATCCCAAATTCATTAGTCGTCGGATCGAGCTCAAATTTAGAGTGCATGTTCGTAACACGTGAATTTAACTTTTGACTATTGGGGTCTTCGAAACAATGTCTGAGTTGAGAGATATCTGCTTCGCACTGAAGTTGTAGATTTGGATAATTTTTCAGCTTTTTTATTCTTATTTGTAAGCTAGTTTGCTTTGTGGTTTACGGTTGTTATCACTAGTTTGTGAATTACTTTAAGACTCTCTTGTATCTTTAATTGATTATAGTGGAGCTATTTCTTTGATTTGGACGACTCATGGTTTTCACTCTCATATTAAGAGGTTTTCCACGTGAAAATATTGGTTTTCTTTTGTGCCTTTATTTGTTCGACCTGTCATATTATATTTGTTGTTGATCTTCAAGGTTCTAACAAGTGTGGAGAATTTTATACTCGTTGTGTATTAGTTTGTTGTTGTGTCTTAATTTCCTATTAGAGTGGCATCAGAGCTCTTGGTTAAGGCTATTTTTCTTGTTTGAATGATGGAGTCAAATACAAAGATGAATATGTTATTGTTGAATGGTTCTAATTACCATTTATAGAAGGGTAAGATGAAAGAATTATTATTCGTGAAGAAATTGTATTTACCGGTTTTTAGTTTTGTAAAAATGGATATGTGTCTGATGAAGAATGTGAGTTTGAACATCAACAGATATGTGGTTTTATTCGACAATATGTAGAAGATAAGATTTATAATCATATTGTTAATGAGACACATGTAAAAACTTTGTGGGAGAAGATAAAGTCATTGTATTCCTCTAAATAAGGGAAAATAAATTGTTCTTGTTGAGTAGCTTCATAAGTTTGAAGTATAAGGAGTGGACTTCTAATACAAATCACTCGAGTGAATTCCAAGGGCTCATTGATTAGATGTCAGGAATGAGTATCAAATTTGATGATGAATTTTTAGGCTATTTATATTGTTATCTTTACCATAGTCTTGGGAGACGTTTCGAGTTTCTATCACAAGTTCTGCTCCTATAGGTGTTGTTTCTTTGGAAACAAATAAGGGTGGTATTCTTAATTAGGAGATGAGAAGGAAGGCACTGGGTTCTTCATCTCAATTAGAAGTACTTGTCACTGAAAATAGGGGGAAGTCGGAAAAAGGAACCAAAGGGTGGTAGAGAGAATAACAGAAGAAAGTCCAACCCACAATACAAGAATCCTGGGTGTAATTATTGTCACAAAACAAGACACATACAAAAGTATTATTATCACTGAAAAATGGATAACAAATTCAAGAAAGGTAAGTCTAAACAAAGAGACCATGAAGATCACGATGATGATCGTGTTACTATTGCTACTAGTGATGATCTTGTTATTCTCTATGATCATGAGTCTGTTAATCTTGTATCAGACGAGAGCATGTGGATAGTTAATAGTAGTGCTACATTACATGTTACACCAATGAAGGATTTCTTCATATCTTATACTTCTGGTGACTTTGGAGTGTTGAAGATGGATAATGATGGTGTATCTAAGGTAACTGGTGTTGGTGATATTTTCTTGCAAACCAACATGGGCATGAAATTGTTGCTTAGAAGTTTCAAACATGCTACAAATATCCGCTTTAATTTGGTCTATGTGCATATGTTTGATGATTGTGGTTGTGACAATCACTTTGGTTCTGGAAAGAAGAAACTCAACAAAGGTAACTTGGTTATGACTAGAGGAGGAAACTTTCTAAATTGTATTGGATAAAAGCTTTAGTTTATAGGGACAGTGTGAATGCTATTGATATTAAAGCATTTATGTGGCACCGAAGACTTAGTCATATTAGTGAAAAGGGGATGAATGTTTTGTCCAAAAAGGATGTGCTTCCTGGATTAAAGAATGTAGATTTGGAGAAGTGTTCTCGTTGCATGGCTGGTAAAGAGAATAGAGTCTATTTCAAGAGACATCTTCTCTCAAGGAAGTCAAAGTTGCAGCAGTTGGTATATTCTGATGTTTGTGATCTATTAAAGATAAAATCCTTTAGTAGTACACTTTATTGTGTTACCTTTATTGATGATTATTCTAGAAAACTATGGGTTTATGCCTTGAAATCAAAAGACCGAGTATTGGAGAAGTTAAAATAATGTTATGCTTTGATAGAGAAGCAGGCAAGCGAGAAGTTGAAGTGTGTTTGTTATGATAATGGTGGTGAGTATTATGGACCATTTGGTGCCTATTTCAAGCAACATGGTATTGCACATGAAAAGACTCCTCCTAAAACTGTAACGCCCGTAATTTAATTAATTATTTAATTAAATTATTTTTGGAATATTTTAGAAGATGTGTTGTGATTAATTGGATTTAAATATTTTATTAAGTGGTGAAATAATATTAGAAGTATAATATTATTGATGTGGACTTGTTTTTAAGGAATAGAAGTAATAAGGGGGTGTATTAGTTTTGGGCCTGTGATGCGGTGGGAGAACTGACTTGAGGTTTTGTGTTTGTGTTTGCAAATGTCGCGGTTAGCAAGAGTCGCCACCGACTTTTCTTTTATCCAAAAGGAAAGGTAAAAAAGCACAGGAAAGACCTTTGAGATGTTTTCTTGAGTTCGGGGGATAGATTATGAAAAGGGAAGGTGCTAGCACCCTTTTCATCCATGGTTTTCCATGGGCTCTTAGTTACTTGTTTAGATCACTTGCTTTGTTTTGTTTGAAATGGTGTTTGGTGTGGTTTTGAAATTATGTTGTAAAAGAGGCCATTCATTTAGGCAATCTTTGTAATGATTCTCATTCATAAGAATGTATATAAAGATATTTGTCTTTTGAAAATGTTTTCAATGTTTTGTAAGATGTTTTGAAATGTGTGTGTGTTTGTTTTTGAAAATAGCAAGGATTGTTTTGAAAGGAACAAATAACTAGAAGCTATCTACCTACTCAAATGTCTTTCTTGTGCATTTTTATTCCTTTGACATTGTTGACTTACCATTGATTTGGTAAGCAACCCTATCTTTGGATGTAAACGGGACGAGCGTGGGTCATCGTATAACCATGATAGCAATGTTGCCAAGTATCTTAGCATTTTTTGAGGGACCGAGATCATTTTGTTTTAGGCAGCCTTGAATAGCGTCATCGAGGGACTATGATCTTATATTTGTTTTGTTTTGTCAAGATACTTCGCGTGCGTAACATGGCCATTTTAATTTAGACAACCAAGTGGGAGGAACCCTAAGGGTGCTTGTGTGCAAAGTGTATCATTTTCATGCTTTTGTCTTGTATTTAGGGTTTTCTATTTTGCTTTGATTTTGTTCTTGTCATGCAAACCTTAATTTACTAATCATGGTATAAAAGCGATAAATTGCGTAAAATAAACTAAGCTATTACAATATTTTTTATGGGAGGAGGGATACAAGTTTGAATGGGGATTTTGCACAAATATAGACCTAAATATATTATTACAAACAAATCGAATATTGCGCGAATTAAATAAATAAAGTACAAATATTTAAAATGCAATGCAATGTTTATGTTAAAAAATGTTTTATGTCATGTTTTTTTTTATGAAAAATATTTAATTTAAACCTTAGAAAAAGGAAAAAAATAGTATTATTTTTGGAAGGGATGAAACCCTAATTTTTGTTCAAAGAAAATAATGCTTCATATTATTATTTTGTACATCTTTTGTATAAGAAAAATAATAAATAATATTATATGTAAATATTAGAAATTAAATATACATAAAAATAAGTATTTATAAGTATAAATAGTATAATAAAAATATTAAGTATTTGTTTATTATATTTATAAATTATTTAAGAAAATAAAATCTATTTATCAAAATAAACCAATTTTTATGTAAAAAAAATTATATAAATAAAATAAAATAAAATTGCAAAAATAAAGAAATTATTTTTTGGTATTTTTTATCATTAAGAAAAATAAATGGAAGTATTAAATATAAAAATATGAAGAAAATATAAAAAATATAAAAAGTTCAGCTAGGGGGTGCAA